GACTTAAAAACTAAGAAATTACATAAAATATTAAACTCCAAAAATTAAGTGAATTTTTAGGTGAGACGGTCATTTAGTATCCGACAGACTTAAAAACTAAGAAATTACATAAAATATTAAACTCCAAAAATTAAGTGAGCTTACATTGTAACAAACTTCATTTATGAAGTGAAACTAACAAATTACATAGAATATCATGTCTATATTGTGCTTGTGTCTATACCATATTTAATGGTAATTTTTTTTTTTTTTTCAGAAAATGATTAAACACCTTAATCTCATTTAAAAATTTTTAATTTAATCAAATTAATTAGTTATTTTAATTTTAATTTATAATTATTTATATTAGAGGAATAATTATTTTAACTAAGGGTGTGTTTGTTTGGGGGATTGAATTTCCAATCCACTATTCATTTTTCCTCAAAAAAACATCAAATCAAACACCTATTTTTTATTTTTTTATATTATATTAAAAATCAATTTTACATTCAAAACATCACATTAATACCTATTTATATCACATCATACAACTATTCAAATTCAAAATTTTTACTATTTTGTTATATATATTTTGGCCCAACTCAATACCAAGTCCAACCCGCAATCCAAAACCCTTTAACCCGACCCGACCCACACCTTATAACTCCCCCAAACCACCCCCCTTCTCATTAGATAGTGTATTGCGCGATTTGGAGTTTGTTTTTCCTCTCCCTATGGTTCATCTTCTTCGAGTTCTTCTCGGTAAGTTTGGGGTTCTCTTCTTCGCCGAAATCGCCGTCGTTCTTGTTCGATTCCCTCGGTAAGTTGTTCATCTGGGTGTTTTTGTGAGGTTTTGGGGAAAATCGGTCGATTAGAGTTTAGGGTCGATCGAGTCTGTTGGTTTGGGGTTTTGTTTGGAGGCGGTTGGGTTAGTCCCTAAATGTGAGTCATTAGGTTGTAGACCGAGCCGTAAGAATAGTTTCCCCTATCCTTTGTCGAGTCGCTTGAAAATCGCCGGAAGAGGAAGTTGCCGGAGCTGCAGCGCGTGACTGGGTGTGTTCGCCGGAAGACTGTCGAAAGAGGGAAGTTCATGTTCTGCCTTGTCTAATCTTGAATCCTGATTTTTTGCATAGTTTGATTGTGTTCTTAAATTGATTTTCAGAAAGTATATTAGTTTTATTTCAATTTTGTTGGGCACATTCTAGTTGATGTTGTTTTTGTTTGACAGATTATATATATAAAACACAACATATTCAAATCCCAACTTAAAATTCAAACCCCCAAACAAACACACCCTAATATATTTTTAATTATCTAATAATTATACTTATCTTAAATTTTTGTACTCCCTCCGTCCCAATATAATAGTCTTATTTACCATTTTTGTCCGTCTCAAGACAATAGTGTCATTTCCATAAATAATCATATCACCATAAAACTATCCCTACTTTTTCATTATTATTACACAATTGCCACAAATTTTACACTAATATACTCACAAGGGCAAAAAAGTCGTTTATTCTTACTTTTTACCACTACCAATATAATATCAATATTTCTTAAATCTCGTATCCAATACAACAAGACTATACGTTTTAGGATGGAGGGAGTATTTTTTCGGATGCAGGAGCCGAGGAGGGGAGTATTATATATAATGAACTTGAACTTATATTTAGTCTTATTTGGGGTGTGTTTCTTTAGGGGAGTTTGGGGAAAGTTGAGTTTGTGTTTGATTTTTATTTGAATTTTGAGATGAGTTTAAATTTTCTTGTTTCTTTTGTGTTTGGGTTTGGTTGGAGTTTGGAGAATTTTGATGTGTATTGATTTGATGGATAATGAATAAAATAATATAAATGTGTATTAAATTTAATCGATAAAATTTATATTGTATGATTTGATTATAAATTTATATTATATCCACCATATATATAAATTTTTATTTATTTGTATTATAGAAAATTTTATTCTGACATATATATATTGTATATATATTTTTCATTAATTATAATAAATATTAAATAAAATTTTAATTTAAAAAAAGAGAAAAAAAAAAAGAACAGATTTGGCGCCCCTTTTCTGTACACAGTAATTACTCAGTAAAATAGGACCAAACCTGGAGAAACATACCCTGAATAATAATAATAATAATAATAATAATAATAATAAAACTCGCCTTGCCACGTTAACCATAACTTTAGTTCTAATTTCTTTAGACCTCAAGACTTTGAAAAGTTTGAAATAAATGGAGATTTTGTGCATGCACCTATGGATTACACCCTTCTTTGTTCGAGAGACAAATTAGGGTTGTGTTTGTTTGGATGTTCGGATTTTGATTTAGATTTTGATTGGAATAATAAATTTTTTTAATTGAAATAGTTGTATGATAGAATATAAATAGATGTTGATGTGATGTTTTGAACGTAAAATTAATTTTTAAAATAATATAAAAAATAAAAATATATATTTAATGTGATATTTTTGTGATTTTTTTTTTTGAATAAATAGTAAATTTTTGGCAAAATTTCTCGATCAATCGCACCCTAGATATATCAATAATATATACAATTATATAACATATTTAAATACCTACAATAATTTATTTATTTCTATATAGTTTTATTATGTAGTAGTATAATAAAAATAATTTATTTATTTATACATAATCCTATATTTTTATTGTCTAACAATATTTTTATATAATATTATATTTTAATAATCTGAAACATATAATTTACTATTTTAAATTTTAAATAGGAAAAATTAGAGACAAAAAAAAAATTAAAATTAAAATATGATAGATAAAATGTTATAATTGATTAATGAGTTTTAAATATATTTATAGATAATTTTTATTGAATTTAAAAAAAATTTGAAAATTTAAGATTTCAAAAAAAAAAAAAAAGATAATACTTGACTAGTTTTTATTATTTTTGTCGAAGATAACCAGTTCTTGACAAATGTAATAAATTTAAAATAACTGCATTTTTTTTATTAAAGGTAATGAATATTGTTATAGTAAAAATCAAAAAGGTAATCACAAAGGCAATTAAAAAGGTGACTATAACGGATGCTCTTATACGATTTAATATAAATATAATTAATAAAAACAATGTATACAATTAGGTCACCTGTTGCACATGGTTCGCCTAGTGTGACTTTCTCGTCGGGCCTGATTTGCAGAGTATTAGGTTCGGCCGGGGATTTACCTAATACACACTATCGATAGCGACTGCGAGTTTCCACGTCATAAAAAAAAAAAAAAAAAAAAAGAATCATCTTCAAATGTGTTTTTAAGCTCCAATTTTCAAAATAATTAAGTTCAAACAACATTGAAACCTGACTCTTTGTTACATATTTGTCAATATATGTATGAGACTGGTAGTATTTTTTATCTTTTGTATTTTAACTTCACCTTATTCAATTAATTCTCAATACCAAATGTATCACACATCGTTATGCCTTGTTCTATTGTACTCCCTGTGTCTGGATAATACGGGCTATTATGAGAATTTAAGTAAAGTATAATTAGTAAATAATTAACAAGTGTATTAGTAAAAGTAATTATTATATACTAAAAATAATTATGAATTAAGATTAATATGACTAAATAGTTTAATTAAAATTTAAAAAAATTAAAATTAAAATTTTAAAATATGATTAAAGTGTATAATCAATTTTCCAAAAAAAAAAGGACAAATTATGTGGGACGGACGAAAATAGAAAATATGGACAAATTATGTGGGACGGAGGAAGTAATAAATTGTGTTTGTTCAGTGGGTTTTAGGGAAATTTAGGTTTGAAATTGGTTTTTATTTATCGAGGTGAATTTGAATTTATGTGTTTTTATTTTTTTGTTTAGATTTGTTTTGAATTTGGAGAGTTTTGATGTGTATAGATTTGATGGTAATGAATATAATAATATAAATATGTATTAATTTGTATAATTTGATTATAAATTTATATTATATTTACATATATATTTCTAAATTTTTATTTATTTGTATTATTAAAATATTATCATCTACAAAATACATATATATATTAAATTATAATTATTATACATATATATATATATATTTATATTTATAATTTGAAAACAAAAAAAAAGGCAATAGGGCATATGGGTCTCCCCCCAAACCCCTCCCTCCAGCCCAGTTTTGGGCTGGAATACGGTAAATTGAGCGGGAGAAACACACTTTTAATTCTTTGTTAGATAAATAGCAATTTAATTGTCACAAATGTAACGTAATTTTGACTTGTGGCTTTGGATTCTAAAATTTCTACAAATATGAAATTCTTCATAAATTTCAGTATGTAGCAGACATTTTTTAGCATTCTAGTTCTTTGAAAAATATTTAATGATCTGAAAAATAGAGAAAAAAATAATTTTTATGTGATTATAAAATATAATCGAAGTTCTTCGTGACCTTGATCAAGAAAAGAAACCAGGGTGGATTTTTGGGTAGGGATGGGCTTATGGACTAATGTTTTTCCTAACTTGATCAAGAAAGCCAGAAAGTAATGCTCATTTTCTTTACTCCTCTGCCTCTAATTTGCTGTTAAACGAACTGAGCCGTTCGTAATCTCGATTCGGTTAAAGCTCATTCGCAAATATTAACGAATCGAGTCGAACAATATAAACAAGTTCGCGAACATTCCTTTAAATAATCTATTTATTATAAATATTATATATGCATATAAAATTATAATTTATAAATAAATAAAATATTAATTTAAAATATATAAATAAAATAATTTTAAATTTACTTTATAATCTATATATAAATTTAAAAAATAAAACAAAAGAGCTCTAACGAACTTGAACAAGCTTAATCGAATCTAAACGAGCCGAACACGAACACGAACTTAAACAAGAAAAATTCTTAACAAGCCGAGTTCGAACACTACGAATGAACTCGAAAGCTTAACGAACGAACATAAGCCTTGTTCGCGAACTCGGCTCGGATCCTAACAGCTCTATTTGTATAAGGATTTGTGTTTTTGTGTTCTGTCCTGTCTCGCCTAGTTAATGCTTTCTGCCATTAATTTCTTTATATCTTCACAGTTGATATCCATGGCGTCTGTAATAAAAATTAATGGCATCTTCTTTCTGCCCTACCCTGGTCACTGTCACTGATCACGGATAACCTCCATCTTCATGTGAACCATTTACACTCCTCTGTCTTTATTGTTACTAATTTATAACCATTACTGTGCTGTATCGGATTTGGCAGGGCTGTGAATTCTAATCGAATTGCAGCAGAGTAGCATATCTGCATATTACCTAATAATGGCTTCTGATTTGTTTATTAAAGCAAAATTAGAGATCATGTATGGTAATGGAAGGAATTTGGTCGCCGAATTAGGGCTTGCCAGGCGGGTATCTACCTGGAATATGCTCTCTTTATAGTTAATCATTGATCTTCTTTACATTCGCTGTCTTCTCCAGTCCTCCGCCGACACGCGCCGCCCTGTGACGACTGGAGTTGGTGTTGACCCACCATTGAAAATTGAAGAAATTTCTGAAATCTACGCCATGGTTACCATTTGTAGAATTACTTACTGTTTACTGGTTTGAGTATTTGATTTTTCTCCAACTCTATTTGTATGGTCGAAGGAATTACAGTAACCCCGAGGAGAATTTACTCCACCTTCCATGGGGCCCAACCCTAACGCGTCTCCGATGGCTGGTGTCTCAAAATTTGGGAATTTAATATTGACCAGTAAGGCCCAGCGAATGTGGAAGTTTAGGAACCCTAGAGAATTTTTTTTGGTTTAGGTTTTTCGCAGACAGGACATCCCCCATTTCCGTCTCTCCGGGAATCCTCTTTCTGCTGCTCTAATTTTCAGGCTTTTCAAGGTCTCTCCCGAATTCGAAGGTATGCGATGTTCTTCCGTCGGTAATTTCATGGTTGACTGGAGATTGTCTTCTTCTTCCTTTCCATTCCAGTTGTGTGTTTTTCTTCGCGTTTCTTTCTCTTTAAGACTGACTGACCTTTTCTGTTCAACGCTGTTTGGTGAATCAAAAGTTGATTTGGTTTGTGGAAATCGTCGTTTTCCTCTGCTGTTTTTCAGAGATTGTTTCATTTCCATAGCTTAATTTCATCTGCGCCTTATACAAACAGATTGATTCATTGATTGAATGATTACAGCGACTGTAATTCAGTTTCGTTTCATGATTCAGGACAAGTTTTTTGGCTGAAGATTCGATCGATCCTCTCTGCAATTCGAAACATGGGGAAACCTAGCGCGAAGAAGAAGGCTCCGACAGGATTGAAATCGAAATCCAGCGAAGGAACCATTGCAGCAGCAAAGCACAAGGCGTTTGATGAAGACACTGCTGTGTTCATCAACATGTCTCAGGAACTAAAGGAAGAAGGCAACAAATTGTTTCAGAAACACGATCACGAAGGAGCTATGCTGACCTACGAGAAGGCGCTCAAGCTGCTGCCTCCGAACCACATCGACATCGCGAACCTCCGGACGAACATGGCGGCTTGCTACATGCAAATGGGGATAGGAGAGTACCCGAGAGCGTTGAACGAATGCAATCTGGCGCTGCAAGTAGCTCCGAAATACAGCAAAGCATTGTTGAGGCGAGCGAGATGCTACGAAGCTCTCAATCGCCTCAACCTTGCTCTAAGAGATGTTAATACAGTTCTGACCATGGAGCCGAATAACACGAATGCATTGGAGATCTCTGATGTTTTGAGGAAAAAAATCGATGAATCCGGCGTGCAGGTCGATGATAAGGAGATTGTTTTGCCCTCGGATTATGTTGAACCGGCTTATGCGCCGCCTGTCGCTCGCAAGGTTGTGAAAGAGAAGGGGAAGAAGAAGAAGGGTACGAAGTTGAAGAGGAAAAGCGCCGACGAGCCTCAGGAGAAGAATGTCGACGTAGTAGAGGAGAAGAAGATCGATAGTAACGTTATTGTAGAAGAGAAGAGAAGTGTGAACGACGAAAAAACGGCGACGATGAAATCGGTGAAGCTCGTTCACGGTGAGGATATTAGATGGGCGCAGTATCCGGCGAATTGTGGCCTTCGTCGCGTGAGGAATTTGGCTGTGGAAAGGTTTTCAAATTTGAAGGGCGTGCTCGTCAAATATAAAGATGCAGACGGCGATTTGGTTACTATCACGACGACGGACGAGCTGAGAATAGCCGAGGGATTGGCGGATCGACAAAGCGTGTTGCGACTGTACATTGCCGAAGTTAGTCCTGAGAAAGAACCAATTTACGATGAAATGGATGTCGAGGAGGAAGTAATAAACAAGAGCAATGACGACAAAGCGGCGCCTGTCGAGGATTGGATCGTCGAGTTCGCAAGAGTGTTCAAGAATCACGTCGGGCTCGACTCCGATTCGTATTTGGATCTTCACGAAATAGGGATGAAGATGTACTCGGAAGCAATGGAAGATAGCGTGACGGGCGACGATGCGCAAGGGCTGTTCGACATTGCTGCCGCGACATTCCAAGAAATGACGGCTTTAGCGCTATTTAATTGGGGGAATGCTCATTTGTCGAAGGCGAGGAAAAAGGTGATCCTAAACGACGATAATTCTCCCGAGTCGCAGATTAAGTCCGCGTTCGATTGGGCCGAAAATGAATACAACAAGGCAGCTACCAAATTCGAAGAATGTCTAAAATTCAAGCCGAATTTCTACGAAGGGCATCTCGCGCTCGGGCTGCAGAAATTCGAGCAAGCGAAGCTGTCGTGGTATTACATGATCGCGAGCAAGTCCAAGTTAGAAATCGGGCCATCTTCGCACGTGTTGGAGCTCTACAATCGCGCGGAAGATTGCATGGAGAAAGGGATGCAGATTTGGGAAGAGATGGAGGAAGAACGTCTAAATGGAATTTCGAAGCGCGAAAAAGATAAAACGGAGTTACGAAAATTCGGGCTCGATGGGCTGTACGAAGATATATCCGGTGATGATGCTGCTGACAAGGCGACGAATATGAGGGCGCAGATTTACCTCTTGTGGGGCACAATGTTATACGAGCGATCCGTTGTCGAATACAAGCTGAGCCTCCCGACGTGGGAGGAATGTCTGGAGGTTGCCGTGGAGAAATTCGAGCTCGCGGGAGCTTCGCAGACGGACATTACGTTTATGATCAAGAACCATTGCTCGAACGCTACTGCATTACAGGGTAAGAGGACGGACGCCAGTAACTTTGCGAATGATCTTGATTTTTTCGTAATTTTTTCTTTTTTTTTTTATGGATTACTGAAGGTTTTTGAATTCGACTTGTAGGTTTCAAAGTCGACGAGATAGTGCAGGCTTGGAACGAGATGTATGATGCGGATAAATGGCGAGCCGGGGTGGCGACTTTCCGGCTGGAGCCTCTGTTCAGAAGGAGAACTCCGAAACTTCATGCTCTTCTCGAGCGGACGATCTCGGATCTTTGAAGAAGCTTCGGAATCGAATCGTAATTCTCCGGGAGAGAATGGTTTTTGTGGTATGAAACAGTACAGCATCGGACCAAACCGATGATGATTCTTTTGTCCGAAGTGTGTTGGTATCACTTAGGACATTTGCCAAATCTGGTGTCGATTGCAGGTCAGTTTTCTTGGATTTGTTGTTATTTTAGTGAGTTGTTTTTTTTTTTTTTTTTTTTTTTTTTTTTTAAAAAAAAATTTCATGGAAAGCAATGGAAGATTTGAGTTTTCTTGATTTTATGATTTGGGATATGAAGACTAGTGAGTAGGGTAGGATTGGGACTGGTTATTATTGTCGACAAGATTTGGGATTGATTCTTGTGTTTGTTTTTTTGGTCATTCAAGTCAAGAGGATTTATTGAATGATGGATAGAGATACAAATACAGATACACAGAATGGAAGTGTTCATTGGATTTGGAATTGTGACAAATTTGTGGGATTTGTCACAATTTGTGTGTTTTGTATGTATCTTTCTGTTAAATCACAATCTTGGCATTTCATTTCAATGCTATTTTGTCTTCTTTTTCATTTTCTGCTATTTAGAAAATCTTAAGGAACCAAACCTTAAACCCTCTGTTTATTTATATATTTTTTTTTTATAACTGTGTAATGACAGGCTCATAATAATGTATTTTACCACTTTGAAATCCAATTTTAAACAATAAAGATACGTGCAGCAGAATAAAATACAAACTCTTAAAATTTATTGTGTTTATTGTCGTCTGGTTGTTGTTTGAACTATAAATTAATCACATAATTGCACAATGTGAAGCATAGGCAACAGTATTTGGCGGTGTAGGGTTTGGATCTGTGACCATGAGGTCATGGGTTCATATAATAAATAAAAAATATATGATTGATTTGATGTTTTTATAGAAAAAAAAAATTGAGATAGTAAAATCGAAAATCAAATCTGACAAAGTAAACAAATGGGAAAGGCGATTGACCAATAATTAAGGGTGTGTTTCTTTTAGGGGGTTTCGGTAAATTTGAGTAAAATAATATAATTGTGTATTAAATTTAATTGATAAAATTTATATTGTATGATTTGATTATGAATTTATATTGTACTCAATATATATATTTAAATTTTTATTTATTTATATTATAAAAAATTTTATTACCTACCAAAAAAAAATATTGCAGCTTTTGTTGCAAGGTGCAACAATTATCGCTGCTTGGGGAGCCGGCCCTGTTTGCACTGTTGTTTTGCCCAAACCTAACTTGAGAAAGAGGCCTCTAGCGTATGTTTGTTTGGAAGTTTGGATTTTGAGTTGGAATTTGAATAATAAAAATTTTAAATTTGAATAGTTGTACGATGTGATATAAACAGGTGTTGATGTGATGTTTTGAATGTAAAATTGATTTTTAATATAATATAAAAAATAAAAAATAGGTGTTTGATTTTATGTTTTTTTAGGGGAAAATTTTGGATAAATAGTAAAATTTTGTCTAAATCCTATAAACGATCAAACCCTATATGTATATTCCCTTTTTATAATTTCTTATACAACTTTAGCTAACTTAGAAAATAGGAGATTTGGGATTGGGTTGAAGGCCAAGTCTCCATTTTTGTCAAACTCATTTGCATTTACGCATTATGTTGGAAATGCTCGGAGAACAATAGTTAACTATTGAATTTTTTACTTTGACAAAATTACTAACGAGATAAATGTAACACAAAAAAACTGAGTAAATTTGGATATATAAACATAATCTTAAAAATATCCCATAAACAGCCCAACGAAATCAAATCATACATAGTTTAGCACAATCCAAAGAAAATATTCAAAAAACCAACGGCTATCTCATGCCCACTCTTACTTCACCACCTGCCCCGGCTCGATCACTGCCACGGCGCCGTTCGACAGCCCCACCGCAAGCTGGCCTGCCTTCCCAGGATGCGCTGCCACCACCGTCGGACTCAGATCCACCCTCAGACGCGGCGGGAGGTACGCTGACGGATCGATCTCATGCGTCGGCGTCAGCTCCGCAGAGCTCAGAATCAGCACTATTCCATCTCTCATGGCGGCGTACACGAGCTGCCCGTCGCAAGAGTACGCCGCGTGCGCAATCCGCGCGCAGAATTTCGCAATGGTCCACTGGTCGATCGTATCGCCAAAAAAATTATTAATCAGAGAACGTTATTAATGTATTAAGCAAGCGTCGTCGAACATACCTGCTTGAGAAGCTCGAGTGTCTCGGTTTCGTATATCGCCAGCTGCGTCTCGTGCACTGCCAGAAAGTTCTTTTCTCCGCTGCCGAGCTCGATGGTCACTTCCGATGTCGCCGCGGACGACGAAATCTGCATCGACGTGCTTTTGATTTTCGCCCATAGAATTGAGTCCCAAAGAACAATCTCGGCATCGGTCCCGCACGATACGAGCTTTCCCAACGTCGGCGCGAAAGCCAGACCGCTAATTGCGCTAGAGTGCACTTCGAGCTCCCTTATTACCTAAAAACGAAACAAATTTTTCGATTCAATTCTATTGTATTAGGAAAATCAAGAAATATGCACGCAAGAACACAATAATCTGATGACCAGTTCAATCAGTTCAATCAGAATGATCTTATTTTTGGGCAGTTAAGTCAGATATTTTCACTAAAAAACTTAAAACAGGATTACAAAAAAATATCATTTTTTAGCTCATTCTTAAATCCACTTTTTCCGTTACTGATGACATTAGAGATGGAATGAGAAATGGAATTACGTTAGCTACGTGAACTTTAGGATAAAATTCTGTTACAAATATACTATTTTTTTTTTTTTTTTGTAGTGGATTAGATTATATGTACCTCATCGATGCGAACGTTGTAGATGACGATCCTCGAGTTGTCCATGCCTATAGCGACTATGTTGTTGTCGGGAGGATAAAACACGATGCACGTTGCGGCGGCAGGCGGCGAGGCCATTACGGTTTTTATTTTCTAGTTTAGAACAACATGACATTAGTAAAGATCGACGACAACATTAATAGAGACAGCAAACTAAAGATGTCAGAAATACTACCTTGAACAACTGCATGTTGTACAAAGAAATCGACCCTCCGGACGACGAGATAATGTAAGAATCATTCTTGGACAGTGCAAAGCAAGGTCGAACAACGACGTTCGAAGGAAGATCGTTCCTCATTTGCAAACCGCTCTTCGGCTGCAATAGCTGCGCTGGAAACTTCGCATTTGCCTGCAAGATTTAGAACAGCATTCGTGAATCAAATCATGTTAAATAACCATTTCACCTAAAAAAATCGACAAAAACAAAAAAAAACACACCAATCCATGTAAATTGGCGTCGGTTTTCGCCCATCGCCATAGCAGATGAGTTCCATCTTCGTCTAAAGCAAGAATACCATTCCCAGAATGAGTGTAGACGAGTCTCCGAATCTGCAGCCATTGAATACATTAATTACCTCATAGTTTTCCTCAAACATCAATCGAATGCAATAAGATTCGGCCTGTCTTAATCTCACCGGATTATTCTTCACCGGGGAAGTGAGCAGCAAGTACTGACAGTTAGACACTTGAACAATCTTCGAAAGGCTCGGCATCTTCGCTTCGACAGTTTCGGCCTCTTCTTTCGGAATTCCTCCTTCGGACACATCCTCCGCAGCAGCCTACAACAGAGCTCACAAATTATTTATTACACAAGACAATGTCTCGATGATTCCTCTCGAGATTATACATGTAGTTTTCTCAGACAACTTACTGTAGCGACGCTGTCTCCTGCAGCAACACCTTCCTGAACAACACGTTCCGGATTTTCGAAACACTGCACAAATGGACAACATAAGTATACATGTTTCCTGCATATAAATCGAAATTTGTATCAGACATATATATATATATACCGACCTTCCGGAAGAATTCCTCTGGGGTACTCATCAGTTCATGGCCGAGATCATTCGCCAGAACTTTGATTCGATTCCCATCAGCAGTAACAGCAAGAAGATTCCCCGCTGTGCTAAAGCAAACATTCGAAGAAGCCTTGACAAAAACGAAGATTCGAATTAGTTCAAATTCGCGGGCATGTAATAGAACTCGACTGTATGAAACTTACCTGTAAGCCTCCCCCAGCGTCGAGAACAGCTAAAACTTCGGCATTGTCCATATCCCAAACCTTGATCGAATGATCGTCACCGGCAGCCAAAAACCGATTGTGGATTGTCGCGAAACGAACAGCCGAAGAAGAGTATTTGCTGAGTCCTTTGTATTTTCTAACGACGACGCCTTCCATCTCATTCCATTCGACCATAATCGATTCTCCGTTCTTGTTCGTCCCGCACGAGAATAGCCTGCGAATGTCGAACGAAATTCAGCAAAACACAGAGAAACGACAAATTTCCCGAAGCTAAAAAATGTTCGGCAAGACGACCTTTCACGGTCGTTGCTATACGCCATTTTCATACAGCACAAGCCCGGAGAATTGAACGTAACCCTCGCTCCCATGTTATCGAACAACCACGCTTTGATCTCGCCGCTCGTCGACGTCGAAAACAGAAACTGCAATGAAATTGGACAGAGTAAGAGCATTTATAACATCAAATTTGAACTTGAATTTGAATTCTTACATCGACATTTTCTCGCATATGAGAGCACACCGAGTAAACAGGAGCCTCATGCCCCTCGAATATGTACAGTTTCTCGCCCGTCGTAGCATCCCAAACCTTAATCAGCTTGTCGTCGCCACAGCTTATTACAACAAGGTTTCCGTCGGGGTTAGAAAATTCTAGATCGTTCACATTGCCGATGTGCGCAACAATCTGGACAAAGAAACCGATCACTTAGTGAAAAAAAAATAATAAACAAGCGTATGGATAAATGAAGCGAAACAAATCGAGTCTAGTGTCTACCTCCAACCGCTTCTCGCAGTCATTGTTTTTTGCAGGCAAGAAGTATGTCCGTATAACGCCATTCGATGTTGCAGCCCCTGTCGTCGACACAAGACAACATTAGCTAAACAAAACGAACGGATCGAGGTGCGAGAACAGAGGAAGTTTGTAAAGATTTCGATTTACCGAAAAAGTTTCCATTGGGGCTCCAACACACACAGTTCACAGAAGTCGCGAGCTGATGATCACGGAAAATACAATTAATATTACATCCTCGATTGTATCGGAAAATACAATGAATATTACATCCTCGATTGTATCGAATCAAGATCAGATTTGAATTTACCGGTCGCTCTCGCAACTCAAATGCAGTCCCGAACAGCTTCTCCGAAGAATAAACATCCCAAATCTCTACCTCGCCGCCACTTTTCCCGACTGTAAGAACAAACCCGAAGTCGTAAGCTAAAGCATCGTTACGTAATCGAAATTATACGAAATCTAAATACGACGAACTCGAAATACCTAATAACAGAGGCTCGTAAACAGGATGAAAGTCCATAGTAATTAAGGCAGAAGATCCCATGTCGAGAACTCGTTCGAGAGTTTGGGGGAATTCATTCGGAAGCGCACTTAAGGAATGCTGACAACACGATGACGCCTCCGCCGACGGCGATGCCATCTGCAAAATTGATAGACGACGTTCGAAATGTAAGAAATTTCGATATCACCGAGAGAACTTTAAATGTAACCAGAAACTGTGCAGCTGGCTCGTCATTCTTACCTCATTAACAGGCTTTGAAGTCTTCAAGTTGGGGGAGTTCGGGCGATCATTAATGTCATCGGATGAAGCTGCAATAAATGAAAAAAACGTCGTTGTTAATGTGAAGTTCGATGAACTAATACGAACGACACGTGGAAGATTACGGTTACAACTACTAACAAGATGACGACATTACTTTGTTTGGCGGTAACTTCAGATTCGGTTACCACAGAAGAACTAGAAGTCGACTTTTCTGGCTTTGACGCGCCATCCGAGCCCGGACAAACGTGATCCGTAAAAAGGGTGTCGACATGCGGCTCGGGATGCGGATTAGCGCAGGACATGTGCTGCCAATTCAAACTGCGACGCGAATCATATTCGGATAATAAATTGTCAGCAGTAAATGTTAGGTGAAGAACTAAAACTTCGAAAAGATCGACAAAATCAACAAAATCGACAAAATCTAGGCGAAATTACCTCTGGTTGATCAACCTTTTCAACCTCGACTTGTCGAATTTCGGAAAGGTCGTCGTCCCCTGCAACAGGGGATTCGCCTTGGCGATCCGTCTGAGCTCTTTAGCCATTATTTTTCTTGCGGACTCCGCGTCTCCGAAGGACGCGAGCGATTCGTGCTCTCTGTTAGTTAATTCACACATCAATGAATCAAATTTGCGAAATGAAATTCTATCGAATTATATAATCTGCGGACCTAAAATCGTCGAGGGCCAAGAGCTGAGCCATCTCTTTGTGAAGTTCCTTGTTTGCAGCCGCGAAAACTTTGAGATCGTTCCGGAGAATGCCCAATGCCACATCGTACTCGCCCCTACAACACGACAAAGATATGATTGATCGGAAAAAAAGATCGACACGATATGATCGATGGATTGATTGATTGATCTTACCTGTCAAGAGCTTCAATGTACTTGTGCTTCCTTATCTCGAAATAAATCTTTCTCGAATAATCGTTGTCGTCGACTAAGGTGAAGCCTGAGATATATCCTTCTACATCGTCCCACTTCCCCTGCAGCATTAGCTCTTCGAAATAATCGATGTCGAAGAAATAACCAGTTTCTTGCTCCAGCCTGTTAATGGAAGGCACAAAGTTATAAGCTTAATCAAAAAAACATTCGAAAACAGTTTAATCAAACAAAAACAGAGATGGAATCGAACATACATGTGGGCAGTCATTGTGAGATTCTCTTCTTCGCAGTATTGCATGATTAAGAACACAAGGTCTTTGCGCAGAGCCATTGCAGTAGCCATTTCTCTCTCTCTTAATCTTTCTCTCTCTCTCTACAGAAACAATTTTACAGATATATATATATATATATATCAGAAATCGACATTCAGAAAATCAAAAGAGCAGCAGATTGAATCGAAACAGCAAAACAAGCAGGATTAGTTCATTCGATCTCTGCAACGGAGATAACAATCAAATCAAACACGATCCTACAGCAAAATCGATCAAAAAATTAAACAACAGATTTAAAAAGGGGTTTCGATCAAATAACTTGGAAGGGGGAAGACAGATAACAAACCCTAGAGCCAAGATCGAAAACCCAAAATCAGGATTCGTAGTTCTTCACATAAGATCCGGGGCCTCTTCCTTTCCCATGTTTTTTATTTGTAATATTTATTTATTTATTTTTTTTTGGGGGGGGGGGGGGGGGGAGGGTTTAAAGAGGGTCTACAGACATGAAAGAAACATGAAAAAGTAAGAAAAGAAAAAAGAAAGGCTAGGCAAAAGGGGTTGGGGAACATCGAGAAAGATGCTCACTTTTTTGCCATTACAGAAAATAAAAACAGAAATTAGTAGAGACGGTAGAGGAAGAGGCTTCTTGGCCTGCTGGCTGCATATACCCTACCTCCTCTACCCTACCCTACCCTACCCAAACCCTACCCTACCCTAGCCTACCTGGGAATTGTATGGTGCCTTCTTCTTCTTCCTCCTCCAAAGGGTATCCTGCAAATTGGGGGTGGCTGAGTTGGGCAGGAAGGGGGTTTATTTAAAGAGGTATGAGAGGGAGGGGGGAGGGAGGGTGGTAGGTGGAGCTATTGATAAGCGCATTTACTTATCAGATAAGTTCGTTGAATTATACGTCGGTGATGATACACCATTCAAGAGCGTATCACTTGGACTCGCGGTGAGATTATTTTTTTATTATTTTTCCTTTGCTGTGGAAATATTTCAAATTTAGTTAGGGTGTGTTTGTTCGGGCATTGGATTTTAATTTCACTATTTATCTAAATTTTTTTTTCAAAAAATATCAAATTAAATATCTATTTTTCATTTTTTATATTATACTAAAATTAATTTTATATTCAAAACATCACATCAACACCTATTTATATCACATCATACAACTATTCAAATTTAAAATTTTACTATATTTTGATTTTTATTATATTTTGGTTTTTACATCAACATCACCGTCTTTTTAATTATATTTGATTATATATATATATATATATTTTAAAATAATATATTCTGAAATTATTAACTAAGCAGTTGTTTTTATAATTAACATAACAATAAAATTGAATATAGTATTAATTTTATTTTGTTTAAAATGTTTACAATATTGTTCAATGTAATATATAATTAGTTCAAATAAAATGAGTTAATTAATTATATTATAATCCGGCAAATTTACCATATCATTACAAATGGGAAGTTTACATTTTTATCGACAAATGAATTGTATTATTAAACAATAAATTTACATTTTTAACCAACGAATTAATTATATTAGTAAACGACAAATTTTTCATTGAAAAATCATATCTAACAACAAGTTTACTTTTCATCGACCAATTAATTATATTAGTAAACAAAAAATTTATTACGTTATTATAAGATGCAACAAGTCTAGCAATTACTAAAGTCTCTACACGTTTATTCAGTCCACTAAGATTCAACTAACCATGCCTTTTAATGGCACAAACTACTTTACATAGAGCCGTTAGATTTGGAATGTTCTTGTAGCCCACTTAACAATAAGGGTAAATTATATAACACCCCATGTATTTTAGTAAAAATACACAAAATATTCTGTATTTTATTTATTGCGTGGAACGTCCTCGTGTTAATATAAAGTTTGCACGAAATATTTTTTTTTTCCAAAACTTATATTTAGTGCTAAATAAATACCTAAATTACGCAAGTTTTATACAAATAAAAAGTGCAAAATATTTTAAATATTTTTTTTTGCATTAAATAGATAAATAAATAATTTATTAATCCTTCATTTTATAGTTTTTGGAAATAAATTGTTGTCTGATTTTTATAAAAATTATAAAAATAAATGATTGATCGATTATTTATTTATTTATTTTATTCAAAAAAATTATTTAAGATATTTTACGTTTTTTATTTGTATAAAACTTACGTAATTTAGGTTTTTATTTCGAACCAAATATCAGTTTCGGACAAGGAGTGTGTTTCATGCAAACTTTCCATTAACATATGGGGGTTTCAAGCAATAAATAAAACACATGTGTTTTATGCATTTTTGGTAAAATACAAGAATGTGTTATATAATTTACTCTAACAGTAATAATAAAAGCTTTTAACCAATAATTGTTTTTACAATGAGCTTACCAATTATTAATTTACAGCTTGCTTACCAAAATAATATATTGTTGTTTTTTTAGTAAGTGAAATAATTGGGACGACAATAAATGTACAAATAAGGTAAATTATGAAAATTTTCCTATTAAAGAAAATGATAACTAATTTAGCCAATTTACTTTTTTTAAAAAAAGTTGTTTAAATAAATAAAAAGAAAAAAAAAAGGATAGGTAGCCGCGTAGACTACGGGCGTGTTTGACAAATAGTTTTTTTAAGAGCTTTTAACTTATTGAACAATTTTTAGCTGTTTGACCAGTCAAAAAGTTAATTTAGGTGTTTGGTAAATTAGCTTTTTGGACCAAAAAAACTAATTTTTGAAAAGCTAACTTACCAGCATTTTAAAATAGCTTTTTCTGTAAAATTTTTTTTATTCCTTATATGCCCTTAGAAATTTATTATATATTTTCCACAAATAAATTTATTTTGATTATTTAATAATTATATTATAATATTTTATTATATTATAGTTTTATTTTTATAAATTTAAAATAATTAATTTTTATATAAAAATTATTTTAATTGTAAAATATATAAATTTATTAAAATCAACATAAAATAAAAAATATAAATATTAATAATTTATTTTTTTATTAAAATTACATTATATAAATTTTATACTAAAAATAAATTAAATAAATTAAATTTATTAAAAATTATAAATATAATAAACTAATCGATAACTAACATAATAAATATATACACGAAAAATTTATTATTTTATATTTTACATTATTTTCAATAAAAAAAAATTATTTATATATTTTAATAAAAATATACTTATTATTTTTTAAATCTAACTGTAATAAAAATAAATAATTTTATAACACTTTTACAATTTTAATAACTAATAACAAAAAAATTTAAACATTCTAAACTCAAAAAAACATAATTGAATATATTAGAAACAAGAATAAAATAGAAATGTCCTCAATTATCATTTTACGTATAAACAGCTAATATCAAACAGTTGTTTTACCAAACATTTTAATACAAACAACTAATCGAATCAGCTAGTCAAACCAGGTAATTGAATCAGCTAACAACTAATTGCCAAACACGCCCTACACCTAAGTTACGGATGTATTTCTATATTACAAGTTTATACATAAGTTATTTAATTTATCATTTTTATATTTGATATTTATTTTTTAATATTTACTAACACTCCATCGGCCTCACATTTTTTTGTCAATTATTTCTATTTTCGTCCATCTCATCTTTTTTGTCTTGTCTATTTAGAAAAAAAAATGATTCTATACTTTAATCACCTTTTAAATTTTACAATCACCAATTTTTAAATATTAATTAATTAATTAATTGTTTTAATTTTAATATGTAATTATTTATATTATATAATAATTATTTATACTAGTTATACTTTACCTAAATTTCTATATCTATAATAAACTCTAACGTTTAAGGTGGGACAGACGCAGTATATATTTAAAAATTATTAGTAAGTACACTTTTTTATATGTATAATAAACATAACAATGAAAAATGTACATAGCATTAAATTTTTACAACAGTGCTCGACGTAATATGTTATTAGTTCAACAAATAAAACGAGTTAATTACATACTTTAACCATTAAATTAATTATATTAGTATCGCACAAATTTTTACATTAGCTGATTGTTTACCACATCATTAAAACTCAAACGGCAAATGTATACTTTCTTCGGCAAATTAATTATACTAGTAAACAACTAACACTTTTGATCAAAAAATTAACTATATTAGTAAACCACAATTTACACTTTCATCAACACATTAATTTTATTATTAAATGATTAATTTACACTTTTAATCGAAAATTTAATTACATTACTAACCGATAAATTTACATTTTAAGCGAAAAATTATTTACATTATTCGATGAACAAAAATATAGTTTAACCGACAAAGAAATTCTACTATATTAAACTATTATTTTCTCTAAATATATATTAATTTCAAAAGTTTATTTTTATTACAAATAAAAAGAAAACAAAAAAACTAGGATGTGTTTGGTTTACACTTGTATTTTATATTTATATAATAATTTAATATGGTATTTTTTATTATAAATATTACTTCCTCCTCCCAATTCAAAGTATTATTATTATAATTTTGGTTCGTTCTATTTTAAAATATCATTTTATTTTAAAATGTAATTATACACTAATACTAAAATACTCTTAACTTTTTATCATTTTAGTTCGTTCTATTTCAAAGTATCCTTTTATTTAGAAAAAGTAATTATCGACTATTACTTCATCCTCCCAATTCAAAGTATTATTTTTATCATTTTGGTTCCTTCTATTTCAAAGTATCTTTTTATTTAGAAAAAGTAATCATAAACTAATACCAAAATACCCTTAACTTTTATTTACATCATTGCACATACAATTATTGTTTACATAAAATCAAAGAATAAAAATATTAAAATATCTTATATATTTCCAATAACTAATAAAATATTATTAATTCTTAATCTATTACAAAATCTGTTCGGCCCATTTCAAATGATCATTATTTTTATAAAAAATGTGGGAATAAGATTCTAATAAACTATAAAAAAAAATCCGCTGAATAGCCGTAAAAATAAAAACCAAGAAAACATCAACAAATTACGGGCACCTTCTTACACCTAATCCAAAGTGATGCGCACTTGGATACGGTGCCACGTCAGAATATATAAGTCCACGAACTTATCTGATTCGGACCACTTTTTAAGACTGATCCGCATATGAAACAAAAACTTTTGCAATCTAGAAAATATTGAAAGAAAACATCAAATTTATGAGCACAAAAAATTCTATCGAATAATCTCCTCATGCTATATATATTTTATCTCATTCTAAATTCCTCTTTTTGCATGCATGTCTGGAGTTGTAAAATAAACGAACTATTCATGAGCTTAATTTGGTTTTGTTGTTTGAATTTATTAAAAGCTAATGTTGAAATAATTTAGATATTCAGTTTTAGATTTAGTAGATTTATATTTAGATTTAGTCTTATCCATATAATATTAGTTAGATTT